TGAGTAAGTGGGTAAGGATGGAAGCCGTGAGTATGAAATCTGTCGAGTGTGGGCGATTTGCATATTTGTCCAATCGCAATTTGCAGTCTAGAATTTCTGCAATTTCGAAGTATATATACGCTTCAATTGAATAGGGACGAGGGTGGTCATCGCGTAGCACAAAAGGGCAGTCATGTCGGCATTTGTGAAGGGTCTCCAAACATATCATCTGCTTTTGACTATTCTACCCACGATTGTAGTCCCCACAAATACGCATCCCACTTGTAGCCGCTCAGGCTTTTTTCAGTCTCATATAGGTTTCGCTCCTGATTAAATGATGCGGAAAATTGTGGAGCAATTCTCAGATTATCTCTCGCAGAGATTTTATATACTACAATTCTCATACTTTAATCCACTCGAGTCCACCCTTCGCTCTCCGAGGCAGCCTCATGAGAGTTCACAACTCCCATGGTTGATTTTTTCGTGTGTATGTCTCTGGAAAAACTTCCTGGCTCATCCCATAGTTGACCCGATAGTGTGTATCACGATGAATAGCAAACAGTGGATGGGTGGGAGAAAGAAGAAGAAAGTGAATGAAATGAATGAATAACGCTATATTGAATTTTCCACCCTTGTTATTCGAGTGAATACTAATATAAATATCTCTCAGATGGGTGTGACAAAATGAGGACATGACTATGGGCACCCAGGAGTTGGGCTCACAAATAGACCACAAACCTCAAACCACAAGCAACTGGGAGAGCAAGAACTCTGCTCCACTGACGGTGTATCCTGGATTGCTTCCGGGAGAGCAGCGTACAAAGAACGGAGGGATGGTGGAAGTGAGATCAGTGATTTTCCGATGCTGTGGTATTTCACCAGAAATCATTGAAACACGCCGTCAGGTGTGAATAGATGGACAAAAATTATGGCTCTGTGGGAATCAGTGGCAGTGAATTATGGACTTTTCTGCCTAACACTATTCGGCAGCAATACACCCACATTCCCATATTCTACGTCTTCGCCCCCGCCAGTATTATGAATGTTATACACTATGTACAGTTTGTGGATGAGTAAACCCAAAACTTTTTACAGCAATGTGGCTGAAAGAATCCATGAATTATTATATTTTACTATATATCCAAGCTAATCTACATACATAGTATTAGTTTTCTTTCAACTAGAACATATATCTATCTAATATCTAATTGATATTGATTGTACTAAATCAATTAGTGCTGTTGCATATTTGAGATTTCTTTCTATGCATAAAAATGTAATTGAGCCAAATGCATTTGGGTCTTCAATTGAACAAACATCGTAATTTATTTAGAGAAATATTTACAGGAAAATCTTATTTACGTCCAATAATTGCACAAAATGAAATTTTAAAATTTATTCTGTTTGTCTTACAGGCTTATCATTATTCTGATAGAAGAGCAGCTTTGTTACTTTCCGTTAATAAAAGCAAGAGAAAATAAGGCAGATACAAATCATTCGAACTTGTTTAGCACGCTCTATCTTGTCGAAACGACACATATGTACAATCCACAGTGAATGAGGCTAAAAAGAAACACAAACATTTCATTTATAGGAAATGAGCATCTTTTGATACATTCACCAAATTTGGCCTCTGTCTCATGGCTAAATTGTCACCCTAACCCTACAATGTGGGGTTGGCAGAAAAGCTGCTCCAAATGACTAGAGAACACAAAGCAGACAATTCCGGGGCTAACAGAACTAATCTACACGCTTCCTCGTTTTCATATCCCGTTTATGACGGCCACTATTTAGGCATTGGGTATGTGTATTGTGTGTCTATAATTCTCATCTATACTGTGACGTGAAGGGCTACTAGCTAACAATAAGGAAAATAATAATCCAATCGAATAATTTGCAATATAGAAATTTTATCCATTAAGTAAATTATATTATGACTAAATTTATTTTCTTTATGAGCAGTGAGTAACACCTAAACATGACTCAATACGTATCCCTACAAATTTTTCCTGCATTTTAATAATTAATTTATTATATTTTAAAATTATGTACCATTAAATGACATTGTCTTCCAAAATGCCCCATCATATGAGTATATACACATATATGTACATTTGTATTTTATAAATACAATGTAATCCTATTTGTTTTGTGTCACTTTTGAAATGTACAGCCCCTTACTGTTAAGGGGACAAGCACGAAAATAATAGCGAAAAAGTGGGTGGCCCGGGGCAAAACAAAGAGGACACGGAGGACATTATATGGTTAAAGTAGATACAGCATCCCTCCAAGTATACACAACCCCGCCAGATCATAGTTAAACGGATGCCTTCGAGGTTCTGAACCACCTCAAGCAGCTGGAGACTGCCCTGGCGTTCTAAACTTCGTGTAAGCACGACAGAAAGCGCTTTGTCCTTGTTCGTGGCTATTCCAGTGATGATGATAAATCACCACGAGGAGAGCATCCACTGGACGACCTTATTTCCACCACTCACAAACTCACTCTTCGCCTTTGTGCCGCTTTTTGCCCACCCACCCAAAATCCCACTTAATTGTATGACTGCATATGTGGTTTCCCCTCGCAACCCAATATTTATGTGCATCACTTATCCCTCAAATCCAAATTCAATTGCATCCATCAAGCTCTGAGCCGAGAAGTGTCATAAATCACTTAGTGCTATTCAATCAGCACGATTCACGGAAGAAAGTCTATAGCAATTGCTCTATATCAAAATTTTTATTGTTTTCTGAAATTTTTTATACTGTAAAAAAATTCAGTTCCATTCTGCGAATTTAACATTATTCCGATAGGCACATTATGTATGTATGCATGTATAAAGTTTTATGAAGCTCTTTAAAATATACAATTTCATTCATATAACATTTTGCAATAAACTCTCGTAGAAAATTTCCAGAAATTCGTGCCGAAAAATAAAGAGGCCATAAAATAAATTATTGGCGAAAATTTGCAATAATTTGATCACACATTAATGATTTGGGTCATTTAAAAGTATATCGTTATAGCCTGATGATATTACAACAAAAATTCTTACGCACGATATTAAGAATGTTTATCAAATAACAAATCAATATAATGGTGCTAAATATATGTCAAAAACCCACAACATATTGCACATAGTACATCACAAGAACTAATCAGAAAGTGCCAAATCAAATATTCTGGAACTGCAAAGTCTCTATCTATTAGTTGTATATATATCTTTGTAATAATGGTTCAATTTACGTACACCTATCTGTCCGGATTAATTAGCACTCAAATTAATAGCGATGTTGGACAGCATCGGTTTAATGAATTGTATCTTGTCGCATACATACGCTAATTAAAAAGTTAAATGCGAAAATTGTCCATGCATGGAAACTTTGTCACCCTATTTTCCGAAATTATACAACGCACAACTTTTGCAGGCACACCACCTCCAGTCTCGCTTAAAATTCAACACTGGGAATGAAATCAAATACACAAATTTACTTCTGTTGAACTAGCGAAATGCGAGGGATTTTTGCCAAAAAGGTGACATAGTGTTTAAATAACAAATTCACACTGATGTGCATTCACAGCAATTTATTGAATTTCACCATAATTGAGGCAAATTGGATTTTATTGCGACACCCTTTCAAAATAACTAAATGGTTTATGGGTTAAGCTTGAGGCTAATACAGGCAATTTAATTGAAAAATTTAATGTCTCTCACCCCCCCCCCCCCATTGTATACTCGAGGGTCGTCATCGAAACAGTGCACAATTTACTCTAAATATTTACCACTTTATTTCGAAAATTCGCCGAATTATCCAATTCGGTTTCCCTTTCGATCTCACTTTGAATACACACAACCCCTCATTTATATAAAATAACATAATTCATTGATAAACATAAGTCCCTACATAGATATGACTGCATTGTCTTTTTGATTTCCTTAACGACAATTCAAAGGAAATTTTCCTGCCACAAAGTAAATGCGAATAATTGACAATTTCCCATGTAGTAAAATATATATGAAATGTGGAATTTACTCATAATTTTATATACAGTTGAGATTAATTTCCCATTTTCGCCATTCTCTGTTTTTGAAATATATTCTGAAAATTTTTAGCCTCAGATTTTACTCACACCTTTGTGCCTGGGAAACACGAGGATGTCCTGAATTTGCTGTTGGCAAAACCACACAAAACCCCTATCCATAACTCTAAAATTCTATGTCCTCTGCGTCTCCTCCAACACTTTAACACACACGGCGTAATATTATTTATGTAAATCACTTTTTGCATGAGTAATTTGCAACATATTGCGCTATTTTCACTTGAAACGAATCCCAAACATCATCTTCTGTGATATGTGGTGAGGACTTTCCTGGCACGCCATTTCCATTCTGTGGACAAAATACACACGTTTTATGATTCTGGAATGCGTGAATTTTCCCGAAGACAGACACCCAAGCAATTTTCTTGTTCCGTAAATTGCAAATTTTCTCCTGCAAAATCACTTTTATTTGCCAGAATATGAATATTCATGGAGAACGTGTCCCATAGCCGTTGTACTCTCTCTCTTGACGCAGAATTCAAACAGTATTTCTCTCTATATTAAATGAAAAGACTATTAACAGTTGGCAGACATTTGCTTGGTTTCCCCATGTCAAATTTCTATATATATATGGTTACAAAATTTCGTGAAATCTAACATTTATGGAAGTATTTCAATAAAATTATGAATAAATTCTTATGAATTAAAAGTTATAAAATTAAAAAAACATACAAATAAAAATTCCACCTTTAATTAATTAAAATTGTTTTAACTTTATCCACATCCTTTACATATATCTTTCGTATTATTTTCTCGTTTTTTCCTATAGTAAGTTATATTTCTGTTCAAAGGATAATAAAATGAAAAATATATATAATTTGTAACGTTTCAAAATTTTCAACTTTTATCAACTGAGAATAATAAAACATTTTCTATTATTTCAAATTCACATTCACTGAAAATTTCAACTTTACCCATTCCTAATCTTTGTACCAAAACATGAGTCAGTTCGCAGCAAAGCGGAGTTCTTTTTGCCTCGAAAGTATTAAAATCAGTTGAAGAATAGTGTCAGTGATAAGGACAACACTCCATTCGACGTATTGCGACGCAATTCAACCAATATTTTTTTCGGCGAATCCCGGACAAAGCAGTATTTCTAAAGGCACTTTTTCCAACTGAGGCCAAAGACCTCCCTTCATATGGCTTCTGTGCGTTTCATGGACTCATATTTCCTACATTTCGAATAAAATCATCGATTGACCGATTGAGGCTGGTCCGTCAGTCTACCAGTGATGCTTCCAATCTACTGTCCTACGTCCAGAACCTGATTGACGATGTCGTCGGAGGAGTCAAAATCGCTTCTAGGTAGCCAACCAAGTACGTCACAAGAGTACGGTAGTGTTAGTAGTGAGGATTCCCGCGCTTCGGCAATCACTCAGGAGAACGAGATGAGACCATCTTTGCCGTTAGTGCATAAGATCGCCTTCGGGATTGGCCACGTGTACAACGACTTAGCGGCTGCAGTATGGTTCAGCTACACACTCCTCTTCATGCATAGTGTCATGAGTCTCCCAGGACCGGCTGCGGGGGCACTCGTGATGTGGGGCCAAGTCATGGACGCTGTAGCGACACCCATTGTGGGCCACCTTAGCGACAAGTATGGCTCTAAAAGACAGTGGCATATTTCTGGTAAGCAAAAATTCCCCTTCAATGTGTATTTAAAAAGCTGAAAAAAACCAACTTCACGAATTACATTTTCTTTGTTGATATGAATTGAAATATTTGTATGAATCATAATATCAGCTTTCTTTGCCACATTTGGTTTTTTGCGCAAATTCTTTGTAATATAAAAAGCATTTGGAATCCATTATAATAAATTTTTGAGTATATGAAAAGTTTTTAAGAAATATAGGATTTTTAGTTTATCTTTCATTGCAAGATTTCTTATATGTTGTAACTTAATTCTGTTACATATTTATTTTTTATCTTGATATACAACATCTTTTCACTATTTACTATGATAACAAGCTTTTACAACGTCATTCAGTTCACCTCATTTTTATTGAATAATCAGAAAGATGTTGAAGTAATCTCACCTTTGTCTACTGTAGCAAAACAATAATATTTATATACCTTTTCTTTTTTTTCAGGCAGTGTTTTTGTATTCTTCTCTTTTCCGGCAATTTTTGCTGTCTGCCCAATGTGCAATAATACCAATCTTATCTGGGAATGCATCTACTTTGCCATTGTGATCTTAATTTTTCAATCGGCTTGGGCTACAGTGCAGATCGCTCATCTCGCTATGATTCCCGAGATGTCTCGTAGTAATAAAGATCGTTCTGATCTCACTGCGCTACGTTATTCTGGCGCAATCGTGTCGAATCTCATAGTTTATGGAGTCACTTGGGCCGTTCTACAAAATAGAACTTCATCCAGCACAGCAATTGGACCCGCAGATGCCTTCAGGTTTAGAGATCTATCGCTAATCATAACCCTCGTCGGAGTATCCATGACGGTGCTATTTCATTTCTCACTGGCCGTGGCGAATTATGAGCAAAGACGTCTCCAAGCAATTCCCAATCAGCGACAAACGGCTGTGACAAGTCCTGATGAAACCGATCGTCTCATCACATCATCCAACCCAAATGAAGATGATCATAATGTAACTGTGATTACTGGGAGGGCCAGAAAGGATTTTCTGAGAAATCCACTTCTATACCAAAATGCTTTGCTGTACGTCTTTGCTCGGCTCTTCATGACCACAGCGCTAATCTACATTCCTCTATGGATCGATGAGAGATCAGCCATCCCAGTGGCAAATGGAGAACCTTCTCCGGATAAATCTATAGACCATATCGCAATAGTGCCTTTAGTGTCGTTTGTGGCATCTTTTGTGGCATCTCTAATCCTTAAGAGCCTGAATCGTTTTATTAGTCACCAAATGGCTTATTTCGTGGGCTCACTCGTTGGCATCGCTGGCTGTGTACTCGTAATCCTGGTCTCACCATCAGCTGCATTGCTAATCCTTCTTGTTGTAGCAGTCCTTTTCGGTACCGGAAGCTCAATCACAATGATCAGCAGCCTCTGCATCACCGCTGATATGGTAGGAGAGAACACAGATTTAGGTGGATTTGTCTATTCCGCTGTGACCTTTGCTGATAAGCTGATCACGGGAGTTGCAGTGCTCGCTATTGAAGCCATGTTAGTGCCTTATCTCTATTAAGTGCATCATATGAAATCTCATTATCCGTTATTATCGCTATTATATTTATTTTCTAGGAAATGCGATCGACAAAAAGATTGTCCAGAGTACTACAAGGAAGTCCTCTCCTTTGCCTGCGGAGGAGCAGCCTGTCTTGGTATTGTTACGCTAATTTCTCTTCAAATCACAAAAATTTGCTGTCATCGCTTTAGAAGGACGGAAGCTACATGAGTAGAATGAAGAATTGAGGAATTCATAGACTTCCTCAGAAAACATCCCAAAAGAGTATTTCTATCTATGGAATCGGTATTACATATTTGGAACATTATTATTATTATTTAATACTTGTTTTAACAACATATTTTATTTACACAACGGTTTATCAATAAACACATAATTTATTAAATAATCGTTTTCTATATGTATTTGGAGACGTGCACTCGGTGTCATTGCTTGAATCAGCTTCGCTATAATAAAAGCCAGGCATCTTCAAATGCTAAGAAATGTGCTGACACTGGATGAACCATTTTTAAATATATCTTTTCATGGTAAATGGTAAACCTTAGCCTCTAGAGTGAATCGTGATCGTCACGCATGTTCCCTCCTCTTTGATACAGGTCGTGAAATTTTTCCGTTGAGCACGTCGACCTTGACATTCAAATGTGTGTATAATTGCTCGTGAGATGGCGCACATGCATCGCTTGCGCGCTGATTTTTGCCGCGTGGACGGGTGGCGCTATCGGTCGGAAACGAGGACAGCTGATTGCTTGTCATTGCCGAAAAATGGTGATCGCGAGAATCTTGTGCTCTTGCCGTCCTTGCTTGGTGTGAAAAGTGCGTTGAGTTGTGGGAGAAAGGGTAGGTGTGAATCGGTGGTGCGAACGGCAGTGTCAGTGTTCGATGGTGGGTAACCCATCATGTCCAACTCGAGTCATTTCCAGCCGTGGATAGCGGCCAGCCGAGATGTCCGCGGCACTTTCTATGGCAAAGTTGATAACGATAGCGCGGCGGCAGGCGCTGCATCATCTATGTCCCTGGACCTGTACACTCAAATTGGACTGCAGAAGGTGGCGGCGCTATACAAGGCATCTCGTGATGCCGAGGACGCCGCTGCCTGGACGGAGGCGGATGAAGAGAAGACCCGGAAGATGCAGCAATTTGTCGAGGCCACGATTGGGTGAGTGTCTTGCGGAAGCCACTCTCACTCTCCGCAGATGGGAAACTATCGAGCGAGAGACTCAAGTGGCGTGTGTTTGATAACAAATAAAAGTGGCCTAATGCTCCCTCCTTACCCCGGAATATCCATGGAAAATGCGCTGATTACAGAGATTGTGCGAAAGAGCAGATATTTCAACTGGTCGAGAAGATATCCCAACTGAAACCGCCTGAGAGACTTTTTCTGTACCTACGAATGCCTGGCGGCAACTCAGAGACTGGTAAAACATCCTGTTCTAATTCTATTGCAACTGAACTTACTTGAGCTATTTATTTCAGATCCACTAAGGCAACCACAAAACCCACTCGGGACCCGGAGCGAAATAACACATACGATCAACTGGGTCAGGTCCCACCTAGAGCACGACCCCGCCGTATCCATTCCCAAGCAGGACGTCTACGACGACTATATGTGAGTCATACTAACCTGCTTTATTGCTCCTGAGAGGAAAAATTATCACACAATGAATATCATCAAGGGCTTGTGCATAAACTGCCCTTCTCGTATTTCCAAGAAATAGTATAGAAAAAGCACTCTAGAAGATAATTTCCCAAATGAAAACTCACCCTTTTTCAATTTAATCCTTGGAAAAAAGTAATGGATTTGAATCTACACTATTGTAAATTTAGTATTTGCACATTTAAAAGAAGAAATTTTCATAAAAAATATATATTTTAAAATTTTGGGCTTTATTTTTTTCGAATACACAATTCGAAAATCTTAAAATAATTGTATGATGTAGTAAAAAAAACATAGAAAATTGGAGTGTTTTTGTAGATTTTGTAGTCGAATCTTGTTAAATTAGATGCATCTTTTACAAACATTTTATCTTTCATTTAATAGGTTGATATAAAGTATTTCTTTCCATAGAAATTACATACATATAAATGAAAATAACGTTATTCTAAATATTCGTATTTCAAGAAAAACTTGGTGAAACTTATTATTTATTCAAGTTCTATTGAGCTAATTAGAACAGGTAAAAAGAATGTTATATATACCTACCGTATTAGTTAGATATTCCTGAGAAAATTACGAATTCACATTTATTCAACCTTCAGAGCAATACATTTTTTTATTCGGCGAAGCCTTATTGAAAAATATGTTTTTTTCTGCGCTACTTCGCTTAGGGGCTTCCATATTTTTTTGAGTATCTGAAGCCTTTCGCGGTGCCGTCATTACACTTTTTCTTTCTTCAGAGAATACTGTACAAGATCAACCATAAAACCTCTTTCGACGGCGGACTTTGGCAAGGTGATGAAACAGGTGTTCCCTAATGTGCGCCCTCGTCGTCTTGGGACCAGAGGTCATTCTCGCTACTGTTACAGTGCCATGAGAAAAGCCACAAAACTCAGTCCGCCGGTTCTGCCAGAGCTCGGAGGCTCTACAAAGGTTCAAAATACATCAAAAAGGATATCAATAGAGTATCTAAATAACTATGTAAATCTGCATTTTTAACAGGTGGTCGTTGAGGAATGTGAAGCAACAGATGGCGAGGCTTGGCGTGTGGTCAAAGGCTGGGCCGAAAGTCTCCTGAGCACCTCTTTCGATACACTCAAAGATCTGGCCAGTCACATTAACAGCCACGGGCTCCATTTACCCGCTAACACGGCCTCGCGCATCCTGTTACAGAAAAAGCTGCTGCAGCGCGATGGGAAGGATAAAAAGAAGTGCACAGTAAGTCTTCTCTGTCCATCTCATGTTAACACTGTTCTACGATTAGAGGTCGAGTATTACTTATATTTTCGAGAGGCTCTTATCAGTTTATTTTTCTTTGGTTTTTCTCCCTCTCTCATGGGTATCTACTATAGATTTCTTATTTATCAAAGTGCCCGTGTTTTATTAGGGAGTCCCGAGACGGCACGAGAGGGGCTGTGTGTAAAAAAGTGACCAGAATGGTCGTGAAAAGAGCAAGGAAAAATGTCTATCAATTGCCATGATAAACATTAACATGATGCAGAATATTTCCCCCTCTGATGCACTTGAACCACTCACTTAATATTCACACACGTGCCGCTCAAGTAAGTGCATTTCATGCCACAAATGATAATAAATTTGCATATATCATCACAATTGTGGCATGCAGAAGTGTTGCACTCTCTTAGCCCATGTTTTCCTCACGCCCCTCAATCACGGTGCTGGGCATTAATATTGATATAGGAAGATAAAATTTGTCATGTTTTTTTTCTTATTTGTATGCCACAAAGCTAATTGAATGACCCCCAACATTTCACCTCTGCTTAATATTTTAATTTCTTCAACACGATACATGACAATTGTGCGAATGAGAGATAAAGAGAGGGAGAGAGAGAGAGAGAGAGAGAGATAGAGAGAGAATAGAACATGTGTGGAAAGTAAAATTTTGAAATAAAAATTGAAACATATTACACACTCTTTCCTAATCTCAGGGCAAACTCTCAGATTAGTGAGATTCTCTCGATTGCTAAATTCTCTTTCTCAATCGCAATGCTCAATATAATCTACAACCTTTCGTGAGTCTTATCAGTTGTGTCGGAGACGATAAGTGAATCATTTGGTGGATGTTGTGGAGATAAAGAAAACACACCTTCTCTCTCAGTCAGTTTTGCACAGGAAATGAAAACTTTTCTGTTTTTATTGAACTCTTTAGCTTATATTGAAATTTTACAAATAATTTTAAACATATTTTAGGTTCACCTAGCAAAAAACTAATAAATTTTACGCTTTATTGAAGTAAATAGAAATCGAAGAGAAATTCTCTTAAAAGTAATGTTATTTGAGAAAAATATTTTTAGAGTTTTTTTCTCGTCATCGTTGAATAAAACATTAAATCATCAATATAGGAAACAAACATTAGAAGAATCTCTTATAATGATGAAGTATGCTGATAAGTATAATGATTGTTTCATTGTTTCGATATATTTGCATCACAGTGTTATTTTCTTCGTCTGGTCCAATCAAGGGAGAAGCAACAAATATGAAACTATAAAATTCGCCAAAATAAACGTTAGTGGTTATTTATGCAAATATTGAACCAGTTTGTGATGTGTTTCTTATGGATCAACATGACGAAAGATTGACTGTAATTTCTTCGTCTATTTTACATCCCACAAAGTCACTCAAGAGCTGCTGTTTTAACAGAAAAAGAGAACGAATATGAAAATATATTGATTAGAGATTTACAATCAAAACAGAACGCCTGAAATGAAACCCGTTTGTTTAGTCAGAAATAATTTTAATATACAGAAAATTTGCATTCAGTTTGTATGATAGTCCTTTGTGTGTATTTCACTAATTTTAACTGGTGATATTTAAATTGTATTTGTTTTTGAGAGCACTTTATAAAATCATCGAATGCTTTTATCGACATATACCCAAATACTCATTAATTGTGTTTATCTCATTGATTGTGGGAACAGAGGTGCTCTCGTGTGGCTTCTGAAACGTTGTGAAATCGTGAATTCATTTATGAAATGTTTTCATCGTAGTATGCTAAAATATCTCTCCTATCGCTCAAAACATGAAAAGATCTCGCGAAAGAAAAACGATTTGGACTGGAAAATTGACTGGACAGGGAGATTTTCAGCAAGCCAACGTCTCGACAAGCTGATAGCAGCATTTTTTATTGGTCTTTCTTGTCACATGTCATAAATTAGAATATCAGAGGCCAATATTTTTGCTACAGACAAAAATTAAGATTAGTAAAAGTGATATACATATTTCCAATGTCGCTGTACATATGTGCTAGTGATGGTAGTAACTTTCTGGGGGATTGCTTAGAAATGTCATATTGTAATGAAGTGGCGTTTTTTGTGAACATAAGATAATTTTTGTGAGGGTTTAAGTATGCCATGAAAACTTGGTTACCTTAGTAAAAAGAATGCTCATTAAGATTTTCATTCTCAGCTACCTTACACTATCATTTTTCTAATCGATCTTAAAATAATTTTTTAAATAACACATGTGTCGCGTGTGTGATCTATTAAGCAAAATAGACTGAAGTACTATAGTAAGACTTACCTATTAAAAATACATTGATATCTTTTACATTTCTCAACTTGTGACCTCTAATCAAATCTACACATGTGTCAAAAACCGTTACTTTCCGTTATTCGTACTTCACTGATTAATGTAGAATTTATTGCTTTCATTATAGGACGCCGATGGATCATCAATGAAGAAACGCCGAAAAAGAAGACGCAAGAATTCGGCTTCCTCGACTGAATCCATTGGAGCTGCACCTTTCTCGGATACGGATAACAATAATGGAAATTGTCAGGAGAGCCGACAAATTGAGGTGAAGTCCATGAGAAATAACAGCAACAGTAGTTGCAGCCAGGACATGAAGCCGTTCGTGTGTGAAGATCTCCCGTTCGGCAAGGAGGAACCGTTCACGGGCCATCAAGAGCCAAACTTATCAATTCAAGGTACAAATTCATCCTGTGATAGTGGCCCATTTTGTCAGGCAATTGAGACGGTATGTGTAAAGCAAGAAGTGGACGTGGCTGAGCATCAGAATATCTTCTGCAAGAAGGTATAGATTATAAATAAGAGTCTTATTAGAGATTAGATTAAATGTAATTATGGATCTTGCAGGTGCGCCAGGCACAACAAGCAAAGGGATTGTGGCCACTACAGTCTGGCTCGGCGGCAGAGGGAACGAATTTGCCACCAAATGGCACCTCGGATGACTTGAAAGATGGCCATTGCTTCAGTCAGCCCCAATTGCCGCAGAATGCCATCAAGTACGAGAGAAGAATGATGCAGCGAGATGGAATAAACACATTCAAGCGCATCAAGTTGCCAGGATATTCAGAAGATATGCCGGAGAATGGAAGTGAGATCCCAGGAGATTTCATTCTTCCGCGTGAACGTGTCATTAGTATTTGCAACATGGACAAGGATGCTCTTGATGACTACCTCAACGGTGGGGACAACTCACAGGAACCTGAAGCAGAACTAATGCAGTACTTCTCGGGGGAGATGGAGGCGCCTAGTGGAAAGAGTGGCGAATGTGAGAGCGCTGATCTGGGTCAATTGCAGACGAGCATTCCGCTGTTGGAAAATTATCAACTGTTCAGCGATGGCAAAGGTGAAGGATCATCCAATCAGATTAATCAACTGCGCCAGTATCTGCAACAGAGTCTGCAGACAAGTGGAAAGAACTCCTCAGACTCACCCGTAGGAAATTCCCTGAATCTGTACCCGGGATCAGCGTCTGCATCTTTAGCAATGATGTCTCAGCGTCTCATGTCGACAGATGTACCAGGTGGTTCATCGCGCGAGGCAGTGAATTTAGGAAGGAATGCTGTCCGAAAAAAATTGAATATCGCTACTGCAACCACAGAGGCCACAAACAGCGTACCTCACAGTCCCAATACACGTCGTAGGAACTTCAGTTTTGTTCCCATCTCAGCAGGGCCGCAGAGCCCACAGATTCGTACAAGCTCGACAACTAGCTGTCGTCAAACACAGACCTTTGTTAGTCCAAGGGTAACTCCAGTCACTAGGCGATCTTTCAGAGGGCATTGTAGCACAATGATGGCACCTGTAAAAACGGAGGCTGCATCAGCACCGCCTAGTCCACCCTCCTGGACAGGCAAGAGTGGGGGGTATGTCATGAAACAGCCTGTTAGTCAGGGACAAGTGCCACCAGTGCCCGAAATGCGCTCACAGAGCGTTCCTCTGCACTGTAGAAGTCCTCTCTTTGGCGGAACTATCAACTGTTCGGCCTACACTTCGGCCTGCAGCTCCGTGGCACAAACCCCCATTCCGCCAGACTACACAGACTTCACTAGTGACGTGGGTCTACTGGACTACTTCAACGGACCTGTTGCGTCGTCCAGCGCAGCTGCAGGTATTGTCACGCCTGTATTGGATGGCGAACTGAATATAAGTGACTTTCCAGGTAATTCTCGCTCTGTGCCATCGACTCCTTTGCCGATAAATGGAACCACTGTGCAGGGCACCGTGGCGAGTCAGCCGACAAGCTATGCAAAAATGTACGACATGTCCAAATCAATGCCATCAACTCCGCTCACTGGAGGCAATCTTTTCCGCTACAGTCCGGAGATCAATCGAGATTTCCTCATCAATGGCAATTCCTTAGACGCCTCGAAGCAGCCGCCCTTCTACGGACAGCCAGCGGCAGTCACAAGTGCCATGCCCATGGACGCCACGATGGGTGACAAGGAGTTTTCTACATTCACTGATAGTATTATCTCAAATCTGAACGATGGGCCAACTTTTGAGTCGGAACTCCTCGATAATCTCTAAGCATAAAAGGTGACCTACGTGGTTACCTAACAGGATTCAGGTAAGAGATTGCACATGTCAATTCCATGGAAAACTTCATCTGAAGAAGACCTGAGCACACGGTGGAATTTTACGTGTAACATGAGACGAAATTGCACGTCTGGAGGTGCATTTGAATAAGAGAATATGTTGCGGAAATGAGAACGCTGTGTCTTTGCTGTGTAGCACAATGAAATTGTGTACAAAAGGTGTTTTAATGTGTAATTCAGACAAATCGTTATTGTTTTACTCCACATTTATTTGAATTACCCTCTATTATTTGTTATTCGCATTAAAGAAAAAAATATGAAAATACATTATCCTTTTAGAATGTCTACTCTAGTTGATAGAATAATGATGGTCAAGAAATGTGAAATTCTGTAAATGGTTATATTCGATGTTTCACGTGAAAAAGAAACCTCAAGTAACCCTCTTCATTCTCCCAGACAAAGATAAAAAAAAGAAAAATTATTCTTTGGTGAAATACAGGGTTTTCTTCAGTGGGTCTTCTTTTTTATTAATACGATTAATACCTATAAAGTGCAAATTCACGAATTTTTACCAACTCTGTGCCTCTGGCTATACAAAACAAGAAAAGAAGAGGATTTAAAAAGAATTATATATTTACAAAGAATACAATTTTAATGGAGATAAATTACATACAAATTATTGTGTACATTTCAGTGAAACTGAAAACGTTTTATTAACAATTTTATTACAAGAAAAAGATTATATTTTGTATTTTTATCGTTGAATAAAGTTGCATATTGAATGTTTAGTTCACATATTTTATTTTTCGATAGTTTTCTGGCATAAAATCACACAGATGGAATCGAAAGTGGAATTTTTGTCTACACAAAATTGATTGGTGATTCAAAAAATTGGCTTAGAGGATGAAAAACAAAAGAATTTCAATCTCCTTTCAATGGATTGCGATATGAATTTTGAACTAATTTAGTGAGAAAATTAGCACCTTTGGTCGCTTTCAAATCTACTAAGCAAAATTTACTTACCTACACATTTTTGCATTCAACCAAACCTTCGACTGACTTTAATCAAAATCTTAAACTTGTTCCTAAATTAAAGAGGAGGGCAAATTGTGGTCCAACTCACGACAGCGAACACTTGTCCTTGGTGTTTGAGGAATTCTGAGCGCCTCCACAAGTCACAGCTGGTGGCTGGCGATGCTCCTGTTCCTGCATAGACAAGGCGATGGCATGGGCGAGCGCTTCATCTTCCGTCATGTTGCCTTGAATGAGTTGGGCATGTCCGGGGGCAGCATTGGCCGTTGCTGTTGTCTTCTTGGTGCTCTTGAAGATGCCTCTGGACGGAACTGAAGGTTGCTGCACTTGCCCGCGGCACTGGTGGTCGTTAAAGTGTCTGTGACGGATGCAAAAGTTTCGTTTGCAGTCCCCACAGAGAATTGGAACAAGTTCTTTCTGGCGACAACCCGCGAAGGAACAATTGTTTGTGAATATCCGTGTCTTCTCCGATCGACAAAATTGATCTATGTGACGTCCTACGGTAAGATCAGGAGAGACGTCACTTGGCGTAGGCACGGGCTCTCCGCATAGAGGACATACAGGGACCTGCACATCCTTCCGCCGAGCAGACTTACAGCCATGCTTTTCATAGCTATAGTGTTCAGAACAGAGAATCTCGTTACATGCGTCACACTTCACGGGCAGGAAGTCTGCGTGAAAAAAGGTCATGTTAATCAGATAGGACAGGAAGTGACACTTCTTTAGGAAACCCACCGAGTTTGTTGCATGTTGACACTGAGCAGTGTTTTCCCAGCCCTGGAAACTCCATTCTCCCTTGTAATTTTATTTGATTCTCAAAATCACTGAATTACAGTTAAATTCGTGAGCCACTTTAACAAAATGATGAAACTTTCCAGCTCTCGAAGAGATTTATAATATTGAAGAATATTCTCGTACTTCCTTTTACTTCAAACTGACGTGACTATGCAAAATAATGGGGCAAAACGGCCGCATATACAGAACATGATTTTTTTAGTACTTGCATGCGAGCTGTTTATCCAAATTTGCTCGTAGTACTAGAATGCATAGAGTCGCGTGTTTACTTTGAAGTTTTCCAGTTTTCCCTTAAAAAATGCCTCCTCCAAAGGTAAAACTGCACAAATCTAGTGGAAAAGTAAAAACGCTGGTGCCTTTGAAACCAGCCGAAGAGACATCATCAGAAAATAACACTGAATTGGAGCTCTGTTGGTGCATTCAGAAACTCGAATTGTCCTTATCCTCAGCAAAATTATCGGAAAAGCAAGGTAAGTTTTATAGTCTTTTAAGTGACAGATCCTATACTCAGCCAATTTGCTTTTCTTTATATACAGCTTTTGACACTGAGAAGGCACTTAAGATTCTGAAAGGAGCCAATCAACCATTGGTAAAGAAAAGGCAAATTATGAGAATGACTTTTGGTGATTATAGATCTCAAATGGCAGCAGAAGAGAAACAATTGTCTTTAGGTAAAACAACCAATAGAATCTCAAACTTCTTCAAGTATCACTATATATTTGCATATGTTTTCTTGCAGCTCCTCGGAGTATAAAATTTACAGCCCCAAAAGAGCAAAAAAGCATCGGAAAGTCTTATTTTGTAAAGAAATCTGCCTTCATAAACTCAGAGAATAATTTCAAGTTTCATTTCAAAGTAAACAACGATCAGGAAAATGAGGTGACAACAAGTGTGCACGAGAATACCGTGAACAACGCAGAAACTAAATTCACTCCTACAGACAACTCCTTTAGGTTCAATTTTCATATTGATAAGGAAATAGCAGAATAAATATCTCATATTTTAGAGAACCTGTCAAGTATATTGTATATTTCTCACGTAGTGGGCGCTGTTAGTGTTCTAAAATTCACTGTGGTTCATGAATGAACGCTGAATGTGAAATTATTACTTTTTTATAATGAATGAAAAGAACCTGAAGGCTTTTTACAAGGATTCGCGGTCTTCTGGATACGTTCAGAACGCCCTGAATGCTCGTCGTCATCAAGATAAGCCGATACAACAACTTCTGGAGAAGGCATGCAAAAGAGAGGTTATGTTAATGCAAACAAACCCCCGGTAATGGATATTCTGTAATTTTGCAGAGAAAATGGCCTCAAGCTGGTTGGGCTGATGATCAGATTGAGCATCTACTCCGAGAACTCTCGCAGATGGACACTAACCGATTCCCCTTTATAGCGGGCGTTGGCGAACGTGAAGGGCGAGTGTATAACAATTTGGTGTCTAGGCGGCACTTTGGATTCTCTCATGGAATTGGACGTTCTGGTGATCTTACAGAGGCTCAGCCAAAAGCGATTGGTTCGACAATTCTCAACGATATTACCAACAGAATGCTTCTAGATGTAGTGAAGGTTTCCGGATTGAATGCGGCGAAAAAATGCTTGCTAATACCAATGGCAACTGGAATGACCCTCCTGTACTGTCTCCTTCAGTTTCAGGAGCCAATATCACCCACTGGGAAACGTAAGGTACTCTGGTCCCGAATTGATCAAAAATCATGCTTTAAGGGCATTATTTCCGCGGGTTTTGAACCAGTAGTCATCGATACTATATCTCAGGACGATATTCTCAGTACGGATGTGGAGAAATTCAAGTACTGGATTGGAGAATTGAAATCGGATAATATTGGCTGTATTATATCCACAACGAGTTGCTTCGCTCCCAGAGGGTGTGATGATGTGATATCATTAGCCAAACTTGCAAGAGAACACAATATTCCCCACATTGTGAACAATGCCTATGGACTCCAAAGCAGTTTGTGTACCTCCAGAATTGAGCAAGCTGTGAGGCAGGGCGGCAGAGTGGACTTTGTTGTGCAGAGCACTGATAAGAACCTCCTCGTCCCTGTTGGAGCTTCCATAGTTGTGGCTTTTGAGGAGCAGAAGATAGACGACTTAGCCAAATGTTACGCTGGCAGAGCATCCATCTCTCAAAGTATTGACATCTTTATCACGCTACTCTCCATGGGCGAGATGGGCTTCCGGAAGCTTCTGGATCAACAGAAAGAATGCTTTGACTTTCTTTTGCATTCCATGGAGCGCATCGCAGAGGATTTCGGTGAGAGAGTTTTTTACACATCCCGCGGAAATCGAATCTCTATAGCATTTAGTCTCTCTAAGTATAGCGATAAGCCCGAATTGGCAATTGAGATCGGCTCCAGGCTTTTCCAACGTGGTATAACTGGGACTCGAGTTGTCGCGCCGGGCAGTTGTATGACCATTGGGAGTCATGTCTTCAAGAATTGGGGAAGTCACACCAGTGAGCCACCGAATGTCGCCTACCTAACAGTGGCGGCTGCTCTGGGATGTCTTCCTGAAGAAATTGATATATTAAATAAGAAATTGCGACTGATTCTCGAGGAAATGGAAAAGCAGGCATCTCAGTAAAGTTGATGAGCATATTTTCCGTCTCATTGTGTGACGCTTTTTCTCCGCGTTAAATTCATTTATTCATTTATCTCTGGATGGTGGAGTTTTGTCGGAATAATTTGAACCGCTCCCATTTCCTGCTAAAGTTCACAAGCCGAAGAAGACAAAAGTCACATGGATGAGATACTTCGGGCTACAGGCATTCTATCTCCTGCTCGCTCTTTCTGATATATGGACTATACTGCATATTGAAATCATTTATTGTTTGCCACTTTAATGACTTTAGAGATGATTCTGTGTGTGATTTGAGTTTCGCATGGTTAATTTCGTTCGCCAGTACCATCCATCGATGGTCAGAGAAGGCGAGAGAGAAAGGCGATGAAATGCTGTTAAAATGTTTTGAATACGAATAATATTATTATTAATCTTTGAGTATGTAAAAAATAAAAGTGATCTCAGTATTATCTCAGCCTTTGCGTGATTGCTTTATATCTACCATCAGATCTCTTGTCCTATTTCTTTTTCATCCCATTTTTACTAGCACTTGTAGCTGCTAGATAATTAGCAAAAATATTCATCTCTAAATTTCAAGAAATATTTTGCCTCTAGATACTAAGAAGATTGATCTGACTTAGTGGAAATACATCTTGTAGCACTTTTACACGCAATAATTATTTATGCACACAAATAAAAACGTTATCGTCGCAATGACTTTATTCAAAATTCTCTGCAGAGTATATCATATAAGAAAATACTCAAGTACAAGAAAAACATACAGATAAAGGCTAGTTGATTAATATGTAAACTTGAGAATATTTTTCCCCTGTTGGGCTTCTCCGGAAGGTTACAAAAAGTAATAATATATGTAGGTAAGTTTTTTTTAACACAGCAGGATATGTTATAAATAAGTTCATGTATACTGTATAGGTATTGCGTGGCTTTGATAGGTCCTTGAGATATAAGCAAAATTGATCTACATCTTTTCCAATGCTTGAAAATTTCGTATCCTCAAATCTATGAACGAGTCTCATCATTAGGGTGTATTTCTAGTCCAAGAGAGTATGGAAAAATTATATTTTTGGCGTTGAATATCGGCAAAGGCAAAGAAAAGAAAAGAAGTTGCATGAAAGAGAGCACGGATAAAGGAGAGGACAAGGAGCAAAAAAACGAACTGGTTGGAGGAGCAGATGGTAACTAGAGCGCGCTTTGTGTGTCGCCTCACTGGGTATGTCTTCTTTTTTTCTCGCCTGTTGGATCTCCGGGATAGTGGTTTGGGGAATTCAACGGCGAATTTTGTTCGTTGAGCTCTTTTATTGTTGAAAATTTTGCGAGAGGCAAATTCTCTATGTTGAGCCACACAGGGGCCTTTCGGATAAAAATTTGCAATTGAATCAAAAATCCAAAAGGGATCTTCTTTATAGTATGAGTGAAATATATTATTAATACTCGATACCAAAGAAGAGATTAACACGAGTGACTGCTAATAGTTTTTTGCATTCTGTAAATTGTTGAGTTTTCTGAACTTCAATAATCACGGATAGAGCTCCTTAATTTCGTATTAAGTTGGTAACAAATTTGATGACAAATTAGTACTAAAAAAAATTCATTGATTTATTTAGAACGTATTTTATTCAGTGTTTTTCTGAATATAAATATATTTTTACCACATTCTTTCTGAAAAACTCTCTATGTTTCGTCCTTAACGATCAAATGCATCAGAATTGTTTCAATAAAAAGTTTTTATTTAGTTTAGAATAAAATAACTTGGTTTTTCTTCACAATACATACATATGTGTATGTAAGGCAATAGATTATTGATTCCTACACTTTGAATGAAATTCATGTAATTTGCTTATGTGGGAATAACTTATCTTGCTATTTATTTCTCTCATAGCAAAATCCTATTAAATTACTTAGTTTATCTTATAATTTAATATCACTGAAAAAATTCTGTGAAATGATGCTTCAAATTATAAACATTTTTTTCACAAATACATTTGTGGATAGATAAAGAAATTTCGGAACGAGATGAAGAGAAAAAGCATACGTTGGCAAAAATTGCAAAAGATACTCTTGCAAGAGCATACAAGTGAGTTTGCTGAATGAATCAAAAACCAGATGGCAGATGATAGTAGGTGGAACTTATCATACAATAAATATGTAACACATCATGTAACTACAATATCACTGAACAATACTAAAATTATCATCTAAATTTTATTCATACCTACTTATATTCTAACTCTATCATTACCTACAATAAGATTTTGTTTAACATCAAAATCTATGTAGAATATTTTGATAATGTATATTTTGATGCAAGTGTGACTTATTCGAATTTGTAGGTGTAAGTCGAATACATTGTAGATTTGCATTGGATTTGATAAAAATGCTTGAGACATTTAATATTGGTGAGACGCCCGTCTGTTATTGGGAAACTTATAACGTGAAAGAGTCCAGGTGTAAAAATGAGACCTTTGTTGAATTGTGTCCGCTAAGAGCAGCTGCCTTCAAAAACCGCCACACATTTCTTCTTGGTGACTACTTGAGAATCGGCATTTTTCCCTATGCAGTGCCACAAGATGTGCGTGTTTCCAGAATATGAGGTTACTCTTCGACGAGACTCATGCTGATGGCGCGTGTCACCTTTACCTGCATGTGTGAGCCCGAAATATCCACTAAGATTAGTTAAATTCTCATTTGACGAAGCTCTTCATTAAACATTCACAGCTATAGAAGCTGATTCAAATTGACTGTATTCATTAAATTACCGGACCTTTGCAATAGATTAGTCATTGACACTTTATCACATTTTTTTAAAGCTTAGTAAAATAGTTATTCTTAAATTATGATCTTGGTTTATTCAATGTTGTTATTTCCATGCCTTTCTCTGTAAAATCTCATCATTATGAAGCATAACAGTGTATCTTTGTATTCATAAAATCTGTCGCTCAAAGTAAAATTGTCAGAGTCGGCTGTGCCCATTTAAGATGAAAAAATATGCCAAATTATGATACTCGGCATGTCAAAGATGATGGAGCGCGTGTATTTTGAATACAAAACTTAAGCAGGAGTTACAAAAAATGTGGAACCGCGTGTGTAATCGAGTCTCAATATAACCGTTAATTTACTAATGTTAATGTATGTAACACAAAGATCGGTGTGACGTGATAAAAATACAAGAGTGCACAAGAAGGGTGTATGAGAAAAGTCTCTAAGAAAAATCATATAGAACCATTTCTTATATGAGTTAATCGTCAATTGTAAAGAAAAAATTGAATTCACTTTTTAAATGCTAAGAAAGAGCTCCTCAGATAATTTGATGATTCTCGTAAGAAATCACTCTCTATTTACGAGCAATTTCCGCAATGAAATCTCTAGTTGAGAATTATTTCTCATCTCTTGATTTCTCATCAGTATGATTTACACTCTCGGTTTTGTCGTGTACCTAGTAAAAATGGAAAAGAAAAAAGTGGATTGAAAAGAGAGTGAAGGAGATGTGTGAGAAGGTATAGAATATCCCAGGTGTGCTTCCTTGTTGTCCCGAACCCAATTCATCAAGAGACAAAGGAACTTCTTTTTTGCCGACTTCCCGCCCTTCTCCTAACCGCCCTTCACCTCAAGAAACACATGGTTATTGCTATTTTATTGTATATGTGCACGCTGCTCGATGGTATTATATAGGTTGAATATATGCAAGGAGCTTCTAAGGAATACTGATAAAATGAGTTGAATTTTTTGCACTGCTAGAAAGATATTTCAAAATAAACGTCAAAAAATGATTCGCAAATACATATTGATAACGTTATAAAACATTTTGCAGGTAAGAATCTATAGAAACATAATGGCTATAATTTATAATTGGCGTGTTAATAAACATAATACTACAATTTCCTGAAATTATATTGTAATTTAAGTTGCAAAGCGACATTTTGAGTGACAGAGAAATGAGTCGGTAAACAGGCGAGTCTTCTCTTCGTTTTTTCTTATATCTGCAGCCTCACAAATATATAAAAATTAAGAAAGGAAAAGGAAGTGCTTTGTTGTTTATTTCGGTGTCTTTTTTCTCAATCTTGTAAAATAATTTTTTTTCTGCTACACACACACACAATCAAATATCCGAGAAAGGTAAATCATTTTTAGTGAAATATGAGAAAGAACTAGAGTTGATTTTGTTATGTGGACAAATGGCTCAAAGGGCGGAAAACCACATAATTCGGAAGGATAGAAATTATGGATATTTAATGATTCATCTTTCCATGGATCATTTTCATACTATTCCACAGTTTGTTTGAAGGTTTCTCAGCGCTGAATCACACGGGACCCCATCCACCTCTTCTCGAATTGTTGGGAATAGTATGTGATTCACGATGGTGTAACGACGCAATTACACAATAGGGAAAAGGGGAGGAATCGGTGTCTTTTTTGCCGCGCCACTCTTCAACTGAGCCAGGGGTTGCTAGCCATATGGCGCTATAATTCAGTAGAATTACTTGGTTGGAAAAGACCAGTGAGTTCATCCGGTTATGGTGGCGAAAATTTACTAAACACACCATTTGAATGAATAATAATAACTTGTTGCGCAGTAAAATGCGCGTCCTGTATGAATGTTTTGGCGGCTGATCGAGGGGTTCGTGCTAGCAACCTTCAAGGGGTTGATTTTTCTCTCATGACTGTTTTATAATACATGTTGATTCCTCGTTGGCCTTGAAATTTTCCCATTCCCGCGTTAGGAATTTCAGGGATTAGAAATTTGTATACATGGGCCCCTTGGAAAGCAAAATCATTCTCCATTTGTACCCTCCATCGATGAACGTCAGGCGAGCACGATGGTTGATTTTTAACTGACATTGAATTTTTTTTAAAACTAATTTAAATATGACTCTTTCTCTGTTCGATACTAAATGATTTCAAATTTCCTATAGATAATTATACATTTCGAGAAAATTCAAATGAATATGACAAAATTTCTCTTAAACCTCTTCTGTAATGAAAATCCATTAAAATTTTTTTTATGGGAAGTTTCTTTAAATTTCTTTCAGAACGTGGCAATGAATACACCTTCTTCCCCTAAATTCAATGGTAATATTGCAACTTATTTTCGACTTTTCTTTAAAACAACAACCAAATTTCCCTTTTTAAAGTTTTTTTCTAGTAAATTGTTACTTAAATTGAAAGTCCTTATAAATTCTACAAAGCAATAAAAATTAATTAAATAATATTTGATCTTAGACTTGAGTTCAGATAGTTCAAAAGCTCTTCGAGCATTCAAATATTCATTCTCGATTAAATCAATTGCGAGATAATTCAATAAATAACGAGACCTACAGTATTTGACCACATGCAGAGCAGCTGTCATAGGGTCTCTGTGTTATATCCAATTTATCGTCATTTCTGTAGAGTATTTTGCGACTGAGGAGTCTCTTAAAAATGAAATACAGCTTCCGAGAATTGAAAAGAGAGGATTTGCTACGAAAATGTATGAAACGTGAAATTTTATATTGGTCTTGCCTTGTACATTGTATTGACCTCTCTGGCTAAAAATGCAAGAAGTTGCTTTTCGGCTGACAAGCAACACCTGCACCCGGTGTACGTACATTGCAGATTTCGCAAGGACCTCAGCAATTTAGGCATTCTGCGCGTTTCCTAATGTTGCATTGAAAGGATTTTTGAACAATACTTTGGTATTAATCTGACTTTTCTGTGAATACCAAAATTTTCTTTAAATTCATATAAATTTTATTGGTGGGAAAGACATATGCAAGATATGGTGATGATAA